GGTCCTGGTCCTGCAGCTTCCCAGCATGCAACCCACCCCCGGCAAGTTATTCCACCGGTCGTTTCTCATTTAAACGGGCCAGTGAACCCAATTTCAAGGCGTTGTTTTGAAGAGTTAAGTGAAATAACTGTTAAAAAAAAATGGACACAAAGTTAAGGTTCGAGCACAGTTAATAAAACAAATAGACTCGCTCACCCATGAGTTGTTGGGCCTCCCCTTCGGCTCAACCACGTTCAGTGTCAGCTCTGCCATTGCAGACAGGACACCCCTTCTCATAGCACTAGGCCCACTGTCCCAGTTCTCCAATCTTTCTCTCCCCCAGAGCCTGTATGAAAGGCGCATGTGTGGTGTGGCAAATACAATCGTGTGTTTTCACGAAACTGGGCCTCATCCAGCTCCATATTCATCATTCTCCAAATCTTCGGGCGGGGGGCGCAGCTGGCTGCCTGGACTCCAGCAAGCAGCCCACACCTTTCCCGAGAGGCGGGGCCAGGAACGCGGCCCCGCCCCTCCGCGACGCATTCTCTGTGGCCCCGCCCCTCCGCCGGAACTGCCCGCCCCTCCCCCGCGCGCCTGCGCAGTCATCGCCCGGAGGTTCGCGGAACCTCGCCGCTCGAGCCGCAGTTTCCACCCGGCCCTCAGAGCGCGGGGCCCGCTTCCGGCAGGCCCCTTCCGTGCGCCCCGCGGGCCGGCCGTGGGTCTCCAGCCGGGACATGGGGAAAGTGAGGGGGCTGCGGGCCCGCGTGCACCAGGCTGCGGTGAGGCCCACCGGGCAGGCCGCGTCCATTCCCGCGCCTCCGGCCCGGGAGGCGGCCCCGCTGCAGGCCTTGTCCGGCGGAGTCGGGGAGAAGGTGAGTGGGGTGCGCGGGCGGCCGGGGTGCGGCGCGGCCTCGGGGCTCCCGGTGGGCTTAGCCCTGCTCCGGTCCTTGCCGAGCTCCCAGGAAAGGAAGTTCCCCAGGTTACAGAAAAAGCGAAGAGCTAACTGGAAAGGGACCCTGCGCCAGGTGGCAGTCACCCCTGCCCCATCTCCCCCACCTCTCAGCGGCCACTGGTCTACTTTCTGCCTGTAGTCTGGACATTTCACGCCCGGAGTCATGTCGCTGTGGTCTTTGCGTTGGGTTGCTTGGACTTCTCATAACGTCTCTGACGTTCATCCAGATTGTGTACTATGTGAGCAGGTCAGTGGTTTTTATGGCAGAATAGTGCTCTACGGCGTGGATAAGCCACGTTTTGTGGAACGAGGGCCAGGCCCTTGAGCTTCCCTGGAGGCATTTAGTGGCGTGTGTAGCCAGGGGGCTAGCAGGGAGCAGCAGCCAAGGCCCCGTCGGTCCATGGGACCATGCCTTTGGTTCAGTGATGCTCCTGAGAACAGCCATGTTTATTGAGCGCTTGCTATGTGCCAGGCACTTTACATCTTCTCAACAGCCCTAACCTTCATGGTGCAGGTGAAATAAATTACCCAGGACACACAGCTGCTGATGGCGGAGTCGGTGTTCGAACACAGGATTTGGCACAGCGTTCCGGCTTTCATACAAACGATCGAGAGATCGTTAACATGCCCTAAACTTCACCCACGTAACGTGTAACATTCAGTGGGTATTTTTTTAGTATATTTACAGAGTCGTGCAACTATTACTACAAATACAAGAACATTTTCATCATCCCCAAAAGAAATGCCATACTTATTATCAGTCATTCAGGCAAACACAAACCTGATAGATGTGCGTGTTCTGGACATTTTTATAAATGGAATCATTCAACATGCGGCCTTTGTCTGGGTTCTTTTACTTGGCATGTTTCTAAGGTTCCTCCTTATTGCATTGTTTCTGTCGCGTCATTTCTTTGTCGTCTTCGTGTTTGTGGTGGAAGAACCTTCCATTGTGTGGGAATACCACCCCACCCCACGTTTTGTGTATCCATTCTTAGGCTGATGGGCAGTGAGGCTGTTTCTCTTGGAGGAGATCCCTGTACAGCTTTTCCTGTTGAGGCTGTGACCGATGGCTCTTTCCCATGGAGGGTTCTTCTGCGGGGGGGCGTACTTGACCGTACTTGCCGTCAGGTGGGCACTGGGCGCAGCTCCCCTGGGCCTGGCCGCTCCATTTCAGTGAAGTTTCCCTTTATTAATTTTCACATCTGCCAGGTTGTTCTGTAAGCTTTATTCTGTTCATTTTCCTGTCATGCTCTGTTCTTTTTCTTCTGCAATCGGCATCCTCTCTATCGGTCTTTCTTTAAATTTGCTGATTGTTTTCTCTGCCAGCTCAAATCTGATTCTGAACCTCTCGAGTGAAATTACTCATTTCGATCATAGTACTTTTTGACCCCAGAATCTTATTTTGTTTTAATAGTTTCTCTCTCCTGAAATTCCATTTGATGAGCCATCATGACACCTTCCAGCAGTTCCGTAGACACGGTGCCTTTTCATTCTGGGGCCATATTGAAAATGCTGCCTTGACGTCTCACGAAGTCCAACGTGTGGGCCCCTCAAAAGCAGCTGCTGCCTAGGTCACACGTTCCTGTTTCTTTGTGTGCGTCACACTCTTGTCGTGGGACATTGCACATCATGGGCCGTGCGTTGTGGCACCCGGGGCTGCTGGTGGTTTCCCAGGGCATTTTCCTGGTGTGCTGGGCTGGCGGTGAACTTACTGCGTGAAATCTATGCTACTCGCCCGCCAGCGTGCAGTCTTCATCTTGCCCGTGTCTGCCACTGTGCCCTTGTTGACATGGGTTTGACCGGGTTCCCCCACCGCCCCAGCTTTTATTCCCTGTTCTGCCCAGGCCAGGCGGGATTTCCCACAGCAGCTAAAATCCTGCCAGAGTCAAGACTGCAGATAAACGTACACGCAAACCCGCATTGCATGAGAGTCAGCGGGAAGAATAAACATAATTAGACTGCTGCGAAGTCAGAAAATAGAATTATTAGAGACTACAAAGCACGTATGTCTAAAGTATGAAAAATATGAAGGGACCAAATGGGAGAAAGGAACAAAAGATGAGGCAGATTTGGAGGAAAAGAAGCAATAAATATTCTTTTCTTTCAAAGAATAGTCATTGAACTTTAACCCAGAACGGACAGGTCAACGGAACTCTGATTTCTAGTCACGTAATGACACTGTACTTTGTAGAAATTCAGTGTGACATCACCTCGCGTATTAAGCTGTGAGTGGAAAAGTAACGCGGTGCAGTGGCCCTGTGCGAAACGCCCGAGGCAGCGGACGGGAGCGGAGGCTCAGTGCGCACGGACTCGCCCTCGCCCGCGGGCCCTGGGCTTCCCCGGCCTGGAGGTGTCGGCCTGGAGGTGTCGGCTGAGGCGGCCTTCCCGCCCAGCCCAGCGCCCTTAGGCTCCCGCACCGCTCCCGTGTGAGTTCCCTGAGGCCTCTCGTGTGCTGACCGCCTGTCCCCGGAGGTCCCCGAGAGCCAGGGCTTCTCTGCCAGGCGCTCCGGGCGGTGCACTCAGCCCGGCACCTTCCTGGCACCCAGGCTAGTTTCTGCATCACCCGGGTCCTGTCAGTGTGTGACTTCTCTGGGGGTGGGTCCTGCCGTCCCTCCCTCCCGAGGCCCCTGCTCTGGAGCCGCTCGGCCTGGGGGGCGGGTTCTGGGTGAGCACAGTGGGGTAGGTGGTGGGGTAGGCAGAGCGACTCCGACGGGTGTGGAGACCTTGATGTGGGGAAAGGACCTGGGAGAGACAGGGCTGAGGTGGCAGGGGGCGTGCGGCGGGAGAGTGAGCGCTGTGGGAGTAGGGAGAGGCGGGCTTGGGGGGCCCTGAATCGGGTCTCAGAGGGCCCTTCAGCCGGAGCCGCCCGCCTGTCGATTTGGGGCCGACGGGAAGGTGCCGCCTTGGAGCCCCGGGGTTTTGGGGAGCGAGGGTGGCTTCCCCAGACCTGTTCCGTGGACAGGCCGGGCCTCCGCGCCGTGTGACGGGCCCCGCAGTACACGCCGAAGCTGCAGACGAGTCTTTGGGGCCCCGTCTCTCCCGTCCCTAGGAGTGGGCTTCCGTGAGCGCTGACCTCTTCGCCAGGACCAAGATCGAGCCCGGCGCCCTGGTGCAGACGCTGGACCTGGACGCGGTGAGCGGCACATCTGCCGGGAGAGGTGAGCGCGAGCGCGGCGGGCCCCCGGGCCTGCGTGTTCACGGCGCCGGTGCCGACCTGTCTGAGCCGCTGGTGCGCACGGGCCAGAGCAAGGCTCAGTGCCCTGCACGCTTTTGGAAGGTCATTATTCACGGGAAAAGTCAAAGATTTACTCAGATGGGAAGAAGGCCGTGAAGAAATCCCACGTGCCCGTCACTGCCTCCGGCACGCACCGCAGCTGCCGGCACACGGCGTTCCCTCGTGAATGCCACTGTGTATTTCCATGGCTTTCAGCAGAAAAGCGTGCCTGCGACGCCGTCCCCACGCCAAACACGAGCAGCCATCGTCAGCAAACACGGTGCGCACTCTTTCACCGCCTTGTGCGGCGTCACGGCCCCTCCGGCCGTCCCCGGGCGCGTGGCGGGGAGGGCACTGGCCGCCGCCTCACGTCTTTGTCACATTCCCCGACCCAGCCCAGCCCTTGGCCAGAGCTCCCGGCCAGCTGGCTCCCCCAAGGCCGGGGCACCCCAGCACGCTGTCTGCAGACAGACCTCAGTCTGGTCCTGTGGGCCAGCACTGGGGTGGCAGGCAGGCCGTGTGTCCTCGTTAAGGCGCTCGGGCCTCTGGCGGGGCCATTGGCGCCAGCCCCCTTGCGACCGTGTTCCAACTGGCGCTTGCGTCCGCAGGTCTAATGCCCCCGCACGTGTCCGTCTCAGAGCCGCCAGCAGCTGTCCGGTGCTGCAGCGCCATCTCTGTGGTCCCGCGCTTCTCTGGGGACTCGACCCGCAGACTTTTCTTAATTATCTTCTCGGGTAACGAAGTGGCATCTGTGATTTCAGGATCACTTTCCGGGTTTCCATCCCCAGTTTGTACACAGCTCCTAGAGCTGTGAGTGGCTGTCTGACAGCCACGACCTTCATCGCGCGTCTTCCGTGGTCTCCTGTTTCTGCTTCCGCTGTGGCTCTTCATTAGGTCGCTGCAGGGGGCCCTCGCCATCTCCTGGCCACTGTGTGTGGCCACTGTGTGCGCGTTGAAAGCACAGGGAGCAAACACGCCTCCCTGCCCTCCCAGGTGCCTGATGAGGATGCCACAAACAGGAGAAAAGCAGTTTATTAACGTGTGTGGCGCCGGCCACGCGGGAGAAGCTGCAGCGTGAGACTCTCCAAGGGGCGGTGGGAACCTGGTCTCTGCAGTGTCCTAGCCACGAGCAGTGCGCCCGGCGGCTCCAGGGAGCCACCTGGCGGCCAGCGAGTGGCGGAAGGTGTCACGCAGGCCCATCCCACGCTGGCCTCCCACGCCAGCTGCCCCAGCCTTCGCTGGCCCGGGGGCTCCTGGCCGTGCTCCTTCCTGAGCAGTGGCTTCGGCAGTCAGTGTGATCAAAGGCTTCCTGTGTTTGGGGCCGTTCCGGTCACCTTCCTTAACCGCAGACGGGCGCTTTACGGGTGATAGACGTTAGTACTTTGACGCGTCGTGCAAAAGTCCTCAGGTGTTTTCGGTGTGCTGAGTGAGGTACGCCCCAGAGAGCTGACGAAGGCTGCCTTCCCTGCCTGCCAGCCCGGGGCCTCTCCTTCCCACTGCCCCTGCTGCTCGTGGGGCTGAGTTTGTCTTTGGCCCTGGGACAGGCTCTGCCCTGTTGGTCCGGGTTGGCATGCTGCCCTGCCTCCTGGCGGTGCATCTGCCAGGAAGGAGAAGCCATCTGTGTTGCAGCAGGTGTCCCGAGCAGTTTGGGGAGTGGAGGGGACAGAGCGTTAGTCTGCAGTCACAGGATCCATGTTGGAGCCCCAGTGCTGTGCTTTGTTGGCTGATGGATTTGGGGCATCTATGTCACTTTCCAGGACTGTTAGTTCCTCGTGCCTTAGTGAGCCTGCCATCTGCTGGGGGAGTGTGCCATCTGCTGGGCAGGTGCGCCACTTGGTTCTGCCTCGCGCCCTCCTGGGCTCCTTCAGCCGTGCTGGCCGGTGGCACTCCTGTGTCAGGAGCTAGCCCACTTTGTCCCCTTTCACAGACAAGGACGTGGTGCATCGTAGGGTCTTTCCCCTCCCTTCGCTGAGCTGAGGGCTACAAGGCCCCTACCTGGGAGTGGGGGGCCATCAGGGCTTCCCTCTGGCACCACTGGGTGGTTCCCTGGACAGCGTCACAGCGTCCCCCTTTCGTGCCCCCTGCACAGAGTGGGTGAGGCTGTGCACCACCGCGGGGTGGGCCCAGGCCCACACCAGCATCGCTGGGGCCCGTCTCAGACCTGCTGAGCCCGTTTTCACCCACCCAGGGATCTCAGATGTGGGCGTCATCTGCTCTCGTCTCTGTGCAGACCGTGGAGCCCACACTGGTCCCGGGCTCTGAGCTGTGGTCTGCCAGGCCTTCCCGGTCTCCAGATCCGGCCCTGCAGCCGCTGCAGCTCCTGCGGGCAGCCCTCTGCACTCCCGGGGAGCAGGCGTCTCTGTCATAGCCTCTCCCCTCCCCCCGCCTCCTCCAGCAGCGCTTCCGTTTAGGCCTGCGGCCTGACTCCCGACTGGCCAGTGCCTGGATCCCGCAGGAGGACAGTGGGCCTTGTGGTCCCAGACCTGAGCTGGGGCTGTGGCCCGGGGCAGGTGCAGGTCATGTGGAAAGTGGCATCCGATGACTCAGCCGCACTCAGCGACCTGCTGGGCCGTGAAGGCGAGGGCGTCTGTCTGCCTGGATTAGCACAGACACATCCGTCCTTCTGAGTCCTCACCCTTGCTTGAGTCACAAATAGAACTGCCCCCCGTGTCTCTGCCTCTGTGCTGCTGCCGTGCTGCTGGGGTGCCCCCAGGGAGGCTGAGCCCGCTCAGGGGAGTGGGCCTAGCTGTGGGTCTAGCACCTGCTGGATCATCTGCTGTGTCCTCCCACGGGCTCATGGGCACTGCCTGCCCTCCCCCTCTCATTCCTGTGTCGCCAGCACGAGCAGGGAGCGGGGAGCGGGCCCGTGTGACCCTGGGTGGCTGCGCTGCGGCGTCTTTCCTGGATTTCTGCACAGAGCTTTTGGAGCCCTGAGGCTGGGGGCCCAGTCTGCCCTTTGCCGCCTGCGCTCCTCAGGCCCACCTGATTCTAGGCAGGGGCCAGGCTTCCCGTGCGGGCCCCATTGGGCTCTGCCTGATAGGCTGAAGTGCAGTGCTAGAGACCCCCACCCCCACCC